GATCTTCTGCCTTGCCAGCCAGCCCTAAGCTTTCGGGGTGTGAAAACACACCTGGCACACATCTGTGTGGTGCCAGGGAGGGATTTTGCTGTGTGTCTGTGGCTGCTTCGTTGTTGAGCGAGTTGGAGCTCAAAAAGAAAAATCTTCCCTTATGCTTTTTTGGGGGGGGTCAAAGCCCATGCGAAGTGACTGCGTATAGAAACGTGAAACAGGTGTTCTCCATCCTCGTGCCAAAATCGCTTTGCATATCTTTTTTTCCACCCCGTTTCGCAGAAAACTGAAGCTGAGACCGGGTTGGGTTTAACCTGCAGCTGCCCGGTCACCTGTGTGCCGTCTGGGACGGCTCCTGTGTGCCGTGTCGGATCGATCAGCCTCCACGCGGGTTGAATTTGGGGGAGACCACGCTGGTTTGGGGGGGTTTCTCTATTAGCTGGGGGCTCCTGTCACCATCTCTGTAAGACGGGGAAGCTGAGGCTCAATCTTTTATCTCCTTTATGCTCAGAACTGGCTGCCACGAGCTCAGGCACAAAGCAGAGGACAGGTCCTGATGCTTACGCGTGGGGTGACGATGATAAAGTTATAAAACATTATATTATAAGAGATGCCGTGCCCTTGCCGGGCTTCCCCCCGCGCGCGCAGAGCCGCGGCAGTGAGTCACGGTCTCCCAAACGCCGGGTTGTGACACTGTCAAACGAAGGCGGCTGACGAATGAGCTGCTATTTCCAGGCTTCCTGCTAAATATACTTTCCCCTCCCCGGTCCCCTCCGTAGTACTCTTCAAAAATTAAGGCCTTCCCGTCGTTAACGAGGGAAAACAAACCGTGTTTCTGCCTCCCCCGGTCTTTGCCAGATGTGGGAACTGGGGCACGCGGGCGGCTTAAAGGCTGAACAATTTGGGGAGAATTGGTGGTGGGGGGGGGAAGGGGAAAAAAGCAGAATTTGGGTCTGCTTGTAAAAAGGGAGTAAACAGGGCGATGTCGTGCTGTGTCTGTGGGAGCAGAGGGGCTGTGCCGCCCTCGGGAAAGGGTTTTTTTGTTGAAGCTGGCTGTTTACTTTTAAAGGCTTTGGTCCAAAGTTTGTTCTTTAGTTTACATATAGGGCCTGTGTCAATCCATACCGTGGATCAACACGTTTTTCTTCCAATAAACACTGCGGCTGGTGGCGAGGGGGGCGGTGGGAGAAACAACCCTTAAGTTGTGAGAAAAGCCTTCGGACAGCATTTTATCTTTAATTAGTTTGAGTTGTTTTTCAAGGCCTGGAAATATTTTTCCCGGCTCAGACTGCCCCTTAAGTTGTGAGAAAAGCCTTCGGACAGCATTTTATCTTTAATTAGTTTGAGTTGTTTTTCAAGGCCTGGAAATATTTTTCCCGGCTCAGACAGCAGAAACTCCCCCAGCCTCCCCCGCCAGAGATTCGGAGCCGCTTCCTTCCTCCGAAACTGTTTTAACCCAGGCAGGACGGCGGGGATGACTGCGTGCCTGGGGCATCCCAGCCAGGGTGAAGGCAGCAACGGACCCTGCCTATCCCACCGAGCTGAGGCTTTCAGGAAGGGAAGCGGGTTTCACAGAGCGACCTGGTACCTCTCTGCGAAGGATGCTTAAAAATTATCCCTCGCTTCTGAAAATATTAGGACTTGAGAGTCGCAGCCGGTAGGTTTTTTGGGGAGAAGGGCTAAGCTGCCTGGATGTGCGTGCTCAGGCGTATTTATTAAAAGCCGCTTGTGTGCTTGTGAAAGTGAAATTGGGATTTTGGGTTGGACTCTTAAAGCGTTTTGTGGTGGGGAAAAAACACAGCATCTTCTAAAAAGGGTGGGGGGAGCTTTGCTGCTTTGTATTAGGCTGCAAACTCCAGGCTAGAAGGGGTGTGTATTTTTCCAGTCGCTGCATTTATTGGGGAATGGATGCCTTATCCTGGTGGGATTGTTTGGGCTTTATCCATCGCCCTGCCGTGGAGGGCTGCGAGGTGGATGCGCTGATTTGATGTCCGGCCGCGTTGCTGCACGCGACACAGCCCAAACCCTGTCCCGGCTGCTCTGAGCATCGCGGAGAACTGTGCTCTTGATGGATTCATCGGGTTTTGCCTCTTCGCCGTCCGGCTGCCCTTTGGTCCTCGGGTTAGTGTCATTAATCACCAGAAACCCACTTGCTGCTGAACACGCTGTTCCCTCTGTGTGGCTGTAGAGAGCCCCCAGGACAACTGCTTCCCAAATTTAGCTGGTTCAGGCACATCACTCGTGCTAGGCAGGGTGAGGAGCATCTCCCTCACTGCCTTGGGCAGTGGCGGGTTGCATAGAGGTGCCCTTAACGCAGGGCAGGGAGCAAACAAGGAATATACAGCTTTTCCTATATGATCCCTGGTCAGCTCGTCACACACAGACAAATCCTTCTCCCACCTATAGAAATCCTTACCCGAGTCATGGTGGCGCTCTGTAGGATTTGGACTTCTGGCTGCCTTGAGAAAAGGCTGGAAATAACAGGGGAAAACCAAAGAAGGTTGAGGAGGTCACCTCACAGCATAACCAAAAAAATATAATAATACCTGGAGAGGCCCAATTCTGCACATCCCCGTGGCAGTTTTGCGGCAGCTCCGGCTCTACTCACTGCCCCGCGGGGCAGGAGCGTGCCTGGTGGTTCCTTTCCCGTACCAGCATCTTGTGTCAGAGCAAACAGGCAGCGAGCGTCTCGTGCCTCTGAATAATCCTCACGTTGCTCTTCCCATTACAAACTTCTCCTTTCTCTTGCTGCCTGTGAAACGCTCGATGTAAGCTCTAGAGCTTTGCCATCACCGGTGCTCCTTCCCGAGGTGAGGAGAACTGGTTTCTGCTTTGCAGGAGGGCTGGAGGTGTCATTGCTGGACGTTGTGGTTCAGGTCTTCCCCGTAGAATCATAGAATGGTTTAGGTTGGAAAGGACCTTGAAGATCATCAAGTTCCAACCTCCCTGCCATGGGCAGGGACACCTCCGACTAGACCAGGTTGCCCAAGGCCACGTCCAGCCTGGTGCTCCAAGTTGATAGGGTGGAGGAGATGCTGTGGGGGTTACGGCTACAGCATGGGATTTTGGAGCCTGATGTTCACTTGATGGAGCTCAGTTTTGACCTCGGTCAAGTCACCTGTCCCTCTGTGCCCACCAGTAAGGAGTGTGTTGTGAGCAATGGCAAAAAGATGCGCATCCCTCGTGGACGTGCAGGGTGTCTTTCACCTTCAAGGCTGGAGGGATGTCACCAGTGTCCTCCTGAAGATGGTCTGTCCCCTGTATTTTGTGCTCCATCTGCCTCAGCTGCTGGAAACCACAACTCTTTTCCTATCTGAACTGAGATGTCCTTGCAGTGGTGGCAGGGAGGCGGAGGTGACCCGGCCAAGGGTGTGCAGCACAATCAGGACTCTGGTGGCCTTGCGGGTGGTGAGTCTCGGAGGACAGAGCTAAGCTGGGTGATAAGTACGTTGGTCTGGGTTTCTTGTGCAACTGCAGCGAGGAAAGCATGGAGGTGTAAGCGCTCACAAAAGGAGATATGATCAGTGAGATGCAACCTGTCTTTTGAGCCCTTGGAAAGCCCAGGGACCCACCTCTGAAAATGCTGCCTTGGCCATTAAAGCCCTGCTGGTGCCCACAGGGGAACGTGTGCAGGGACTGCACCAGGGAGAAGGATGAAATCCTGCACACATTCATATGTTTCCGTGGTCAGTGTGAACAATTGCCAACCGGTTGCAGGAAAAAGGAATGCCTTTGATGCCCAAGAGGAGACCTTCCCTCCATGTAAGGTCTGTGAGATGTCCAGAGGTGGATGGGGAGGTTCAAATTCGGCTGCTGGTGTGTGCCTGGGCTTCCCCATCCATCAGATGGAGGAGAGAGGCAGTTCATCTTCGGAAGTTGGTCAGTCAGGAGCCTGCCTACATCCAGGAGGTTGCATTTATCTCAGGCTGTAAAATGTTTTACACAGGCTTTAGCGAACAACCCACTACCTCTCTGTAATGAAAGGTGGAGGGGTGAAGGAATGCAGAGGTGACCCCCAAAGCTGCTGGTGGTCCTCTGGCCCATGGGAAGCAAAGGCAAGTGTGGAGATGGGACAAAGCATTGAGTGATCCTCAAATGGATGGAGGAAACCTTCCTACCAGGGCCTTTAGAAAAGAAGATTAGGAGAGTCCTTGCAAACTGTGCTGGGGCTGAGCACTGCGTGGGCATCACTCCCCAACCCAGAGATGCTCCGAGGTCATTTTCTCAGACCCGCAAGTCTGGCTTATGGCCCCTTCAGCAGGTTAGGAGAGTTCATCTGCAGCTGATGCCTTGTTTCCAGCTGTTTACACCTCTGGATATCAGCCAGGTACTCGGGTAGGATGTAAATCCTTCAGTGCCTGCTGCCATCGGCACATCCATGACACGGCCGCCCATCCCTGTGGCATCACAGCCACCGCTGGGTTCGTGCATTTGTTTCACACCCTGTGAGAGCTTGTGATGAAGTCTGGATGTAAAGTCTAGGTCTCAGTTGTGCTGTACCGCTCTGGGATGAAGCAACTTTTCTTTCCTAGCCAGCAAGGTTTCCAAGAGCCAGAAGTGTCTCCTTAAGCCAGCATGAGGCCAGGCGATGCGCTTTTTCCATTACCAACCCAAATTCAGCCTGTGATCTCCCACAGCAGAGTGCTTCTCGCATCTACTCCTCCACAAGCAGAGCACAACATGTGGGATTCCTTTTTATAAGTGCGTGGGGAAAAAAAAAAAAAAAAAAGTAATGATAATCCCCAGACATCATGAAAACACACCGCGGAGTTTGCTTTCCCCCAGCCGAGGCTGCAAGAGGATGGGCAGCGCTGCCTGTGCCGGCAGAGCGGAGCCGCCGGCCGGTTGCTCAATGCTCGTGGGGGCGGGATGGGAACACTTGGCAAAGTCCCTATGTCATCCCCCCCTCCCGTCACCACAGCTACGTCCCACAAGACGTGAAGCAATATTTCCAGCCGGGTTTTTAATAGCCTGCAGCTCTGAAACGGTGGCAGCGATGTCTGTGTGAAATGCAGCTCGTCTCCATCAGCGTTCGATGGGCACAGGATTTTTTGGGGCTGGTTGTGTATGAGGCCGGGCGCTTGCGAAGCATTAGAGGGGTGGCTGAGGAGCCATCGGAAAGGTAAAAATCTTTAGTGACCTGCTGCCGGTGTGGGGTTGGACGGGGTGAAGTCATGTTTGGTGTCAGACGTTTGCCCACCGGGTTCTGCTGTGGCCGTGACTTGAGGGTGACATTGGTCTTGGAGATGCTCCTTTGGGGCATCCTGCCGATGCGCTGGGATGGGATGCTCCGACCCGACCCCACAAAGCCTGCTTCACTGCTGGGGAGGGTCATCCCCTTGAATTAAAAGCAATGAATGAAGAGCAAGCAGCACAGCCCTGGTGTGCAGGGGGCCTGGTGTCTCATCCCAGGCTTTTCTTTCGCCTTTAGGGACCAGCCTGTGATGCTGGACATGCGGCTGGGATCTCGTGTGTGGCCAGCACAAGGTTCAGCTCTTTTGCCAAAGCTGCTTTTTGCCCTGCCCCGTGGGACACTCCTGAGCACCTGCCTGGTCTCTAAATGGGTCTGGCCTCACCGGTCCCATGGCTGCTGTTACTGGAAGAGTATCCGCAAAGATGCGGGGGCTAAATCCATCCGTAGCCCATGGGGCTTTGAAGCTACTGAGCTTCCTCAGGTGCTGAATATTGTCATTCCTACCCAGGCTGGGCTCCTGGCACGGCGGCCCAGAGCGGATGGGAATAAGGGATGGTATTCATTAATGCAGACGGCCCACTGGGTCAGACTCTTGGTGTCCCCCGAGCAGTGGGTCACACGTGATGGTGGTCCATGCCACTGGAGGGATGCTCATCCTCGAGGGGAAGGGGGGAGCTTCCCCCGTCAGGCTGGCTGGTGGCTTTTACAGCTGCATTGCTTTTCCAGGTTTCTCCCTCTTTTATCCACCCCTTTCTCCTTCCCAAATCCCAAGTTCCTATTGGCAAACCTCTTCCCTAGCAATCTCCTTGCTGAAAGGCGTTTCTGTGAGTGAAGCCGGTGCCTGCACATCTCCCTGGATGATTTGCCTTTCCCAGTGCTGTAGGAAAGGGGAATAAATGGTGGCAGAGGAATGGATTCAACGACTGATTTGCTGTTTTTCCCCCCCTCTGTGTGTCTTTGACAGGTTACAGCCAAGACTGCCTTCCTGTTTATCTTACCTCAGTACAACGTTAGCGTGCCTACAGCAGGTAAGAGATGCTTCTGCTGCTGACACCCCAAGGGGAGGGTCAAGTCGTGGTCTACCCCAAACGCTTGCTGCCAGCTGGCCTGGGCTTACCCTCTACTGATGTACAGGCCCTTGTTTGGTAGCAAAAGAGCCTTTAAAAATAAGAAATGAGCAGGAAAAACAAAGTTTGAGTGGCTCAGAGCATGCTGATCCTGTCTGCCAGCCCTCTTGCTGCCAGGGTTGGGAAGAAATGTTTTCCAGGGGGTTTTAGGGCTTCCTCTCCTGTTTCATAGAATCATAGAATGGTTTAGGTTGGAAGGGACCTTGAAGGTCTTCTAGTTCCAACCCCCCTGCCATGGGCAGGGACACCTCCCACCAGCCCAGGTTGCTCCAAGCCCCGTCCAACCTGGCCTTGAACACCTCCAGGGATGGGGCAGCCACAGCTTCTCTGGGCAACCTGCCCCAGGGGCTCACCACCCGCACAGTGAAAAATTTCTTCCTAATATCTAATCTAAATCTCCCCTCTTTTAGTTTAAAACCATTCCCCCTCATCCTATCACTACATCCCCCAGTAAAAAGTCCCTCCCCAGCTCTCCTGTAGCCCCTTTAGGCACTGGAAGGATGCAAGGTCTCCCCGGAGCCTTCTCTTCTCCAGGCTGAACAGCCCCAACTCTCTCAGCCTGTCCTCCCAGCAGAGGTGCTCCAGCCCTCGAATCGTCTTTGTGGCCTCCTTTGGACCCACTCCAACAGGTCCAGGTCTTTCCTATGTTGGGGGCTCCAGAGCTGGACACAGTGGGGTCTTACCAGAGTGGAGTAGAGGGGCAGAATCCCCTCCCTCGCCCTGCTGGTCACACTTCTTCTGATGCAGCCCAGGATGCAGTTGGCCTTCTGGGCTGCAACTGCGTGTTGCTGGCTCATGTTGAGCTTCTCATCAATCAGCACACCCAGGTCCTTCTCCTCAGGGCTGCTCTCCAGCCATTCCCCGCTGAGCCTGTATTTGTGCTTGGGATTGCCCCGACCCAGATGTAGGAACCTGCACTTGGCCTTGTTGAACTGCATGAGGTTGGCTTGGGCCCACCTCTCAAGTCTGTCCAGGTCCCTCTGGATGGCATCCGTCCACTACAGCATGTCTACCTCACCACGCAGCTTGGCATCATCTGCAAACTTGCTGAGGGTGCATTTGATCCCACTGTCCATGTCACCAACGAAGATGTTGAACAGCATGGGTCCCAGTACCGACCCCTAAGGAACACCACTTATCACTGGCCTCCACTTGGATATCGCGCCGTTGACCACAACTCTTTGCTTGCAACCATCCAGCCAGTTTTAGGGCTTCCTCTCCTGTTTCTACCGTGCTCAGGCCACTTTGTGTGCTCTGCAGGGTGAGGATCCTCCTCCAAGCCTGGTCAGGCAAGATCAAATTGCCTGATTGCATGCCCGGAGTCGCTCTGTACCCTGCCTAGGGGCAGGAGGGATTTGGCTCTTTTGCTAAGCAGCAGGAGCTGCGCAGATAATTCCTGTCTCGCTTTATTTATTGGGGATGGCACAAGGTGAGGGTGCAGAGATGCATATGGTGCAGCAGCATCCCTGCTCCAGGCAGCTGATGGTCCTGATGGACGTGGAGTGTAATTCAAGGAGGCTCTGAGCTGGCGCAGGTCCGAGCCCTGTGGAGCAGAGGATGTGTCCCAGCTCCCAGCCAGGAGGTAGCTGGAGGCTCCGTCCCTGTTTGTATTTTGGCTGCTAGTTGCTACCTTCCTAGCTGGCAGCGATCTGGGCACCAGCGTGGGGGCAGCAGGAGGTGGTTTGGATAAAGCCCTGGGCTCAGGACGAGCCAAACGCCCAGGGCACGGAGCTTGGCTTGGTGGCAGAAAACTGCAGTTAATTAGAAGTGTTTGAGTAATCATCCAAGGGAAGAGCTGGGGTGGTTGGGATTAGTGAAACCAGGATGAGGCAGACGAGCGGAAGATAAAAGGTCTGCCCTTAAAACCTTTGAATGTTATGGTTGAAGAAATCATCCAGCTTCCAGATTATATTGTGGTCCGTGCTCCCCTATGGCACAGTCCAGACAACTTCCGCTGCCTTTGTGTTAAGTGATTTATTCTCTCCTGCTACTAGAAATCTCCAGGGGGGTGCTCATAACCATCTCGCCAGGACCAGGTATTGGGGTATCAATATAGGGCATGAGCTACCTGAGGCCGTGGGGAGAGAGACCTTGGTGCAGCGAGCTTGCTCGGACAGAGGGTTATTACTCACCTGAATTTTTCCAAGGCTCTTTCGCATCCCTCGTAACACGGATGCCATTGCCCATCAGTCGGCAGATCTCGCTCTCGTCTCCTGTGTTCAACGCACGCGCAGCTCCCGCTAGAGCAGCTTCCGAAATGCCCTAGAGAGAGGAGAGGAGGCAGAGCAGTCGCACACAGTGTAATGTTATTTTCTTCAGGCTTGCAATTCTTTTATCTTATACCGGGGTTACGAGCTCTGTGGTACGGGCAATGTTTTTACCTCTGGCTTTGCACCGCACCCAGGCGAGGGGCTCCTCAGGACCAAGTGTTTTCATGTCCTTACACCAGGTGTTTTCATAAAGCCTGCTCAAACCTTAGAAATCCGGACTGAAGCTTTGTTCAAGGGTAAACAGGGTCGGTGACAGGCAAGTCACTTCCCATAATCAATATTAGGAGAGGATGGTCAGGATCAAGGTCACGGAGAGCGGCAGCTGAGGGGTGGGCTGAGCTTCGCGTCGCGATGCTTTCTGCAACGTGCCACAAAGACAGCAGCTTCCCCGACTCTGCTTCTTCTCCATAAACCTCAGGGCAGCAAATAGTTGCCTAAATGCAGACGTCGTGGGTATTTTGGGTGCCGTTGGGTCTCCTGTTGCTCTGAAAGAGCAGGACCTCCCATGGGTCCTATTTCTCATCCTGGGCCGCTGTCTCGGATCTCTTAATAGCACAAGGCACCTGCATTTAGGAAGCTGAATCCTGCTCCAGCAGCTTTCCAGGGTGAGTGGGAGAGACCGGGTGTTGGATGATAACCGGGGGAGGGTGGAAATCCCATCCCTATGCCCTAATGTTCCCAGCGGGGAGTCCCTGAAGGTGAGAGCAAGCTCTGCCTGCCCATCGCCTGCTTCAGCGCTGCCTCCATGTCTTCATCCCTGATAAATTCCCATCTCTGTCCCCAGCCCCTCACCTCTGGCAGGAGAAGCTTGAAGTGTCCTGATTGGCACCTCCCTTGAGGTGTGTAACTATTTGAGGGGAAACCAGCCACCCTCTGCCAATTAACTGACCCAGGCTAGAGCCCCTTTTCCCAGCCCTGCGGCCACTGGCACAGTCATGATCTCTTGGTGGCCCCAAGAGATCTCTCTGGTGGCCCCATCCAAGCTGCGTGTTGGGAATAGCCCCCGCTGAACTTCCACTAACCCTTAAACCCTGGAAATTGTTTGGATCGTGAGCATTTGACCCACCATTTGGTCTCTTTGCAGATGGGGAGCTGGTCCAGTATCACTACGGGCTGAAGGATCTGGTCACCATTCTCTTCTACATCTTCATTGCCATCATCCTGCATGCGGTGGTGCAGGAGTATGCTCTGGACGTGAGTGCTGTTCGGTGTCTCAACTCACCCAAATATCTCAAATACCTTGGGGAGATGTGGTCCTGCTGCAATTTAATGCCATTCCAGGGGTGGTATGGGGTTTGGGGTGGTGACGAGTGAGCCTTCATCTCTGGGGGCTGCTTGGGATGGGGAGGAGGAGGAGAAGGGAGGGTTGTTGACCTGGTGGCTCATGATTTCTTCTTCCTTTTCTCCCTCTGCTCATTCCCAGAAAATCAATAGGCGTCTCCATCTCTCCAAGGTCAAACACAGCAAGTTCAATGAATCAGGACAGCTGGTTGCCTTCCACCTCACCTCCATGGTTTGGTGCTTGTACGTCGTGGTGACGGTAAGGCACGGGGCTGGCTGGGCTTTGGGTTCCCTGGGTTGGGATTTGGGGTTTGTAGAGTGCAAAACCCCAATGGCAGCAGCGGAGAGTCCCCAGCCAGCCCCTGGGCCAAGATGGGCACATTTCAGCAACTTTAGTTTACAAGTGCGGTGGGTCTTTCCAGCCATGGAGTGAGGGTAGTTTCAGGACATCCTTCTCCTGCTTCGTGCAAGACACAAGCAAATTTTCAGAGCTGGACCCCAGAAATCCTGCCTGGCCCTGTCATCTCCATCCACTGCTCTAGGACCTGCCTTCTTTCTCAGTCTTATTTTCCTCCTTATTTGTGTTCAGTGCCTTGGGGTTTTCGGATGCCCTTCACAAGGGTGTGGGGTGAATGGGCAGATGTTTGTGATCCTTCTTCTCTGTGATCCCTCTCTTGGTGAGCTGGCGGTGAGGGGAATGCTCAGAGCAGGGGAACCACGTCGTGCCTTGGGTTGCGTTGGGGATGTCTCAACCCGTAACCACTGGCATAAAATTGGAAGTGGGAACGTTTCATTTTGGGGAGGAATGGGGAGAGAAGAACAGGCAGCGGTGGAGAGATACAGTGTGAAGTGATGCTGATGCTTTGCTACGGGTGGCTGTTGGGGTCCAGCTCTGGTCCCCAGCAACGCTGAGGGTGGATGCTCGGGGGTAGGTCCCCTCGCTGCTGCTCAGGGAGTCCTGCCAGCCCTCCTTAGAGGACTGCTACCCCCTCCAGGCCAGCATTTCTGGGGATCTGCTGGAATTGCTCCTTGCCCCGTAGGGCTGCAGGGAGGGAAGATGGTTTTGGGCTGCTCTTGTCTAGTGCTATATCTGCCCCTGTTGGCTCTGAGGCTGCAGCCTCCCGTGCAAAGCCACGTTGCCACAGAGAGACCCTGAAACGCTTCCACGTATGCAGAGTAGGTCACTCTGCAAGTGCTTGCACTTTCCCCGGTCTCCCCAAACCAAAAAAAGGGCTTAGGGCGGACAGAGTGTGAGCGATGGTGACAGATAGGTCCTGGGCAGGATGGCTTCTCCACCCCAACATCTCTTTGCAAAGCTCAGTGCAGCAGCCCCATGGCAGGAGCTGTGCAGGGAGCCCCATCCTGGAATCTGCCCCGTAAGCGTGAGGCGAGAGGCTCTAGGGGAACGCAGGCAGGTGGAAAATTAAACTATGCGATGCATATTAAATGATTTTTTGTAGGCATTTTCTGTTCCCATTTCTCTTCAGAAGTACTTCTTTTTGCTTAACTGATACTTGGGCTGGAAATGCCGGTGGGGAAGAAGCACCCCCGAACCATGCACGCAGTTGCTTGTAGCTGTGCTACTGGCATCTCGCCCCCACGCCTCCAGAGCATCCCTCTTGCATTGCCCAGACCCCAAAACATCCTGTCCTCAACTTGGGGCCCTCTGGGCAGCTGAGCAAGCAGCCTTCAACCCCCAAATACGGGGACCACATGAAATTTGAGCGGGGCGCTAGAGACCCCTGAATGTGGCTGAGCTTCGGAGAGCTCAGCCCCGGCTTGTGCAGGGAACATGGTTTTTGCTGCAGGTTGAAAGGACTCGGGTGTTATCGTCAGTTCCTAATTTCGCTGTAGTTTTAGCCTGCCCCGTCGTAACCACGCACTTTGTGTTTCTTTTGCTGAAGGCTTGCATCTTTTTTCTTTTCAGGAAGGATACATATCAAACCCCCGGAGTCTGTGGGAAAACTACCCGCATGTTTATCTTCCGTAAGCACTCGCAAAAGCATTTTGTTCTCGGGCTGACCGCTTCCTTCCTCTATACGGTTTTCCCTGCGGCTGGGAGCAGGGTGCTGACAGCGCGGCACCCTTTGCACACACCCTGCTGCAACGATGCCGCAGCGAGATCCCAGGGGATGGTGGACATCTCGTTTATGGCCCCAGGGAGGGTGTTCCCAGAGGATTTCCTCCACAAGGAAGATCCTGTGGGCTTGGTCACTCATCCTGGCTGGTTCCTGCCTGCATCACCTTGGGGAAGTCACTTTGCTGTTTTATTTTTCATAGTAGAAATGAAATGGGGGATAATCCTCCCTTCTTGGGTTTTTGCAAGAGTGTGATTTGCTGAGAGAGTGGAGACCGCGGCACAACTCCAGGCACGGCTAGCTCGGCTCAACGTATCATTTCAGCCCAGAAATGATGCTTCCAAAACCCCGTGGCTTCAAAGCGGTGGAGGGGTTGCCTGGTGCTGTGCGACTGGGCACTTTCCCTGGTGCCTGGGTCCCTGGGGTCCCTGCCATGCCCTGGGCTGCCTCACACGGCTCGTCCCTGCGTTTCAGGTTCCAGGTGAAGTTTTTCTACTTGTGCCAGCTGGCATACTGGCTGCACGCCCTGCCGGAGCTCTACTTCCAAAAAGTTCGCAAGGTGAGAGCCGGGTGGGTGCTCCCATGTGCCTTGGGGATGCTTGAGGCGGTTTGCCCACCGGCTTTGGGGAAAAGCAAGCTTTGGGAGAGGGCAGGCGAAGAGGGGTGAGGGGTTAACGCGACTTTCTGCCCCTGCCAGGAGGAGATTCCCCGCCAGCTGCGGTGCATCGCGCTCTACCTGGTACACATCGCCGGCGCGTACCTCCTCAAGTGAGTCGGTGTCGTTGGAATCCCGTCCTGTGCTGCGCATGGGGCTGAGCAGGTCCTTTCGCAGTGCGAGTCACCCGGGAAGCCTCAGCGGGGTGGGGGGCATGAAGGGAATAATGGCGAGTGTTTGAAAAGCAGATGGTCTTTGAAGTTGACCTCCCGACTGCGGGCCCTTAGTCAAACAGTTTTCCCAGACCCACAGAGCTGATATTTGAAGGAGGTCAGCGGTGTTACACGATACACAGGCGGTCATTCTTCACAAAGTGTTGTAAAGCAGAAGTTAACCAGGGACCCAGGGCTGCAGGGTGCATCTCCCCTGGCTGTGGGAAGCACCCTAGGGTGCTCTCCCAGCACGGCGTGGGTGAGCAAGCTCTTATCCTCCCTCTGTATGCACAGAGCAGCAATGCCAGCGGTTAGGGCTTTGTGTCGGACCCATCCCAGCTCCGCTGGAACCCATCCCATCTGCTTTGGACTGCTTTGATGTTTTGGGGACAGGGATTCCCCCATCACCATCCTACCCCTGCTGCTGCAGAGAGGTCCAGCTTTGGGCTGGTGCTTGCTGCAGCTCAGGGATGGCAGGGGAGATGCTGTTGCTGGATATGAAGGACCAAGATTGGCCAGCCCAGTGATGCTTTTTTTTTTTCTTCTCTTACCTCCTAGCTTAACCCGCTTGGGGCTGATTCTCTTGCTGTTGCAGTACTTAGCCGAATTCTTCTTCCACATGGCCCGGCTGGTTTACTTCACTGATGAGAACAACGAGAAGCTGTAAGCAGGCGAGCTGGCCACGGCTTCAATCCTCTGGTGCCCAGGAGAGCCGTCGGTGTGATGGGGGGGTTTCGTTCTCACCTTCCAGCTCGGTGCTGGAGGCTGCTCCTGCCGACACCTCTGCTTGCCCTCCTGCAGGTTTAACGTGTGGGCTGTCGTGTTCGTGGTCACCAGGCTCTTCACCCTCACCTTGTACATCCTGGTCATCGGTTTTGGGCTGCCACGGGTGGAGAACCAGGCCCTTGACCCCGAGAGAGGGAACTTCTTCAGCTTTCTCTTCAACAATATCCTCTTCAGGTAGGAATATTCCCTATCCTATCTACCACCCTTTTTTTTTTTTTTTTTTAGTGCAGCCTTTCACATGAAGACTGAATTGTGAAACATCTCCCATACATTCCTTGGTTGTGTTATCCCAGGCTGTTTTTTGCTGAGCTCGGAAATGCCAGTGGGGATCTGATTTAGGTTCCCTTTAGGGAAGGTCCTAGCGAGCTGGGAGGGTGTGGAGGGAGCGAGGAGGCGTTAAAGGCTGTGGAACATCAACAGGAGGGAGAAGCCAGCAAACAAGTTGCTCACTGAGTGAAGTTATAAAGCACGAGCCTATCTCGGAGAAAGACTTGCAGGCTTGCCCTTCTGTGTCCGTAACCACGCTTACAGGGATGTGGTCAATGAAAAGGCGTTTTTCCTTCTGCTTGGACATGTTTTGCTGCCCATTGACGTGGGGAGCAGGGGATGGGATGGGTTCCTCATGCCCTGCAGTCTGTCTGTCAAAACTGGGAGCCTTTCTCACCCATACAGCAGCTGTAGGTTCAGTTCAGAAGTTGCTAGGATGGGTTCCTGGTCATTCCCAGGCTTTTGGGAGCTATGGACTACTGGCATGCCTGAGGATTTGGGGAACATTCTTAGCTCCCTTCCAACCATATCAACCTTTTAGCTGTACAGAGCAGCTGGGGATGTCTTACCTTTACCGTGCAGACTGTGGTCTAGGCAGTGCTGCTTGGGGGGATCCTATTCGTCGATTCCTGCTCTAAAGTCTTAAGAGCCAGCAATGCCCTGAGATCTTTGTAGTGAGGAGGGAAAGGGGAGTGGCTGCCCTGAGCTCAGGAGATTGCAGAAAGCAGAGATGGTGGCTGGAGGGATGGCGCACGCCCATGGTGCAGCCACCCAGGGGGACCTCGGCCACTGGCCCCAGTGTGGGTGGAAGGCTGGGCTGGTGGTGGCTTCGGTCCTCTGTTCTCAGCCTGCCTCTTCTCCGCCCCTACCAGAATGAGTGTGCTGCTGTTGGTGTGCCTCTTCCAGGCCTCGGTGATGTGGCGCTTCATCCACTTCCAGCTGCGGCGCTGGCGGGAGTACTGGAACGAGCAGAGCAGTCGGAAGCGAGCCGCTGCCAGCGCCCAGCAGCAAGCCAAGCCGCTCAAGAG